CAGTCCTCCTGCCTCAGCCTCCCGAGTGCTGGGATTACAGGTGTGCACCACCACACCTGGCTCTTTTTTATTTCTTGATGATCACCATTCTTTCTAGTGTAAGATGAAATCAGTGTTGTTTGACTATTTCTCTAGTGACCAGAGATGTTGAACATTTTTTCATGTTTATTGGTCATTCATTGCACTTGCCCATTTTTGATTGAGTCTTTTATTTTGGTGTGGTCTAAATTTTTTGAGTACTTTTCTTTTTTTTTTTTGGTTTTTTGAGACAGGGTCTCCCTATGTTTTTTGCATTCTTATTATATTCTAGATATTAGCTCCCTGTCTGAGGAATAGCTGGCAAAATGTTTTTTTCCATTTTGTAGGTTATATCTTCACTTTGTTGGTTGTTTCCTTTGCTATGCAGAAGCTTTTTATTAATATTATCGATTAATTTGATGTAATCCTATTTGTTGATTCTTGCTATTACTTCTGGTGCATTTGGAGTTCTGTTCAGAAAGTCCTTGCCTTACACCTATGACTTCCAAGTAGTTTACCTGTTTTATCTTCCAGTAGGTTTACTGATTCTGTTGTTGTGTGTACCCCCTGACCCACCAGGGATCAAACTCAGGACCTTGGTGCTTGTGAGGCAGGACTGGTGCCACTGAGCTGAATCCCTGGCCCTGATTCTGTTTTAATGTTTACATACGTGATGAGATATATGGGTCTTCAATCTTCTGGATACAGATAGCCAGTTTCCCCAGCATCATTTGTTAAATAGGCTATCTTTCCTCCAATGTACGTTTTTGATCACTTGTGGAAAATCAAGTAAATAAATATGTCTGGGGATGTTTCTGGGGCAGGATTTTTTTTTGGGGGGGATACCAGGGATCGAACTTGGGATGTTGTGCTTCTGAGGCAAGTGTGATACCTCTGAGCTAAATCCCCGGCTGGGGATGTTTCTCTATCCTCTGTTCTGTTCTGTTGATCCATGTGTCTGTTTTTATGCCTGTATCATGCTATTTTTATCACTGTTGCTTTATAGTATAACTTGAAATCAGGTATTGAAACCACCCTTTTTGCTTTTGTTGCCCAGGATTGCTTTTTGCTATTCTTGGTCTCGTCTGGTTTCATATGACTTTTAGGATTTTTTTCTAGTTTTGTAGGGAATTCTTTCTTGCTTTCTTTCCTTCTTTTTTTTTCCCTCCCCTCCCCTCCCCTCCCCTTCTCTCCCCTTCTGTTCCTCTCACTATGTAGTCCAGGCCGGCATTGAACTAAGTAGCCTAGGCTGGCCTCAAACTCATGGTGATCCTCTTGCCTCAGCCTCCTGACTGCTAGGATTACAGGCATACCCAGCTATTTCTCTAATTTCTTTTTCACTGAGATCATTATTGGTTTATAGTAATGTTATTGACTTTTGTTTGTTGATTTTTGTATCCTTCTGCATTGCTGAATTTGTTTTTTTTGTTTTGTTTTGTTTTGTTTTGGTACCGGGGATCAAATTCAGATCCTTGTGCTTGCAAGGCAGGCAGGGAACCACTGAGCTAAATCCCCGGCCCTGAATTTGGTTTTTAATTATAGGAGTCTTAGCGGATGTTTTTGAGTCTTCTTTATATAATATTTTGTCATTTACAAATAATGATAATTTGATTCCTTCCTTCCCATTACGTATCCCTTTTATTGCTTTCTCTTGCTTGATTGCTCTGGCTAATATTACAAGTATTCTGTTGATAGTGAGTGATCGTGATAGTGAGCATCTGTGTCTTGTTCCTGACATTAGAGGGAAAGCTTTCAATTTTTCCCCGTTTAATATTATGTTAGCAGGAGGTTTGTCATAAATAGCTTTTCTCACATTCAGATAAGGTCCTTCTAGTTCTCTCGAAGATTTTTATCGTGAAAGGGCATTGGATTTTGATACAAGCTTTTTCTACATCGATTGATAGGATTTTGAAAAGAATCTACAGGTAATATTAAGTTGAAAGTCATAAATTGCTAGAAAAACTCATTTCCAAATAGACTGAGGAATTGGGGTTAGACCTTCAATAAATGAAGTCCTAATTTAGGTGGTGGAGAGGCACAGTTTAACCCATAACAGGAATTCTAGGAATTTGTCCATTTCCTCTAGGTTCTCTATTTGTTGGCATACAAGTATTCATTGTATTCCCCAGTACTGCTTTTTATTTCTGTAAGATTGGTAGTCATGTCCCCTCTTTCATTTCTGATTTTAGTATTTAAATCCCCACCCCTGTCATTCCAAGCAGTGACACATTTCATGGTTTCACAGTCAGGAGTGACTTCTCTTAACAGTGTCAGAGATGTTAAAATAAAAAAGGATATATTTTATTCATTTAAATTAAGAATGTTAGTTTTATCAAAAGACACCATTGAGAAAGTGGAGAGGCCAGCTGCAGATTGAGTTGTCTGCAACACAAACTCCTGATACCACAGTTTTGAGCAGAGGAAGCCAAATTTCATAATGTACAGTGTCCTTTGTGATTCCATTTCTCTAAAGTTTAGAAACTGACAGACTGTTTAGGAATGAATACTTAGGTGCTACATCACTACCAAGGAAGAAATTGGCAGGCCGGGTGCTACACGCCTATGATTCCACCACTGAGGAGGCTGAGGCAGGAGAATCAAGAATTTAAGGCCAGACTGGACTACATAGTGAGGCCATGTCCAGGAACAACCAGGAAAAAAAAGATTTTTTTCTTGACTTTTTTTTTTGCAGGGGAGGGTACCGGAGATCGAACTCAGGACCTTGCGCTTGAGAGGCAGGCAGCAGAACCACTGAGCTAAATTCCTGGCCCATTTTTTTTCTTGATTATTCTAAAAAGGTTCTTCTTTGTTGCTAGCTGTATTGCAGTTCATGATCTAGATGGTTACATGTATGTTGGGTTTATAGGTTTGCTAAATTATAATGTATTACACACATTTATTTATATTTTTCTTTTCTTTTCTTTTCTTTTTTTTTTTTCCGGTTTTTTTGAGATAGGGTCTCACTATGTAATTGAGACTGACCTGGAACTCACATGTAGGCCAGGCTGGTCTCAAACTCACAGCGATCCTCCTGCCTCATCTTTCCCAGTGCTGGGATTACAGGCATGCGCCACCTCGCCTGGCTTATAGTTTTCAATAATATTAGGGTTAAAAATTTTTAACCCTAATAATACTTTTGGTTTTTGATGGCTGATTTGTATAAGAAGATATTTTTAGGTTTTTTAAAAAAGCTATTTTCGCCTAGTATTTGGAAATCTTTACATTTGTAAGTAGTTCAGATTAGTCATGCCTAGATGGGTAGTTTAGCAAATCAAACCTTTAAGTCTTGTAGGTCTGTTATACTTTTTTTTTTCCTTTGGTACAGGGATCAAACTCAGGACCTTGAACTTGTGAGGCAAGCAGCAGCACCACTGTGCTAAATCTCTGGCCCTATATTTTTAATAAAACAAATCAGTCTTACCAAAATGGAAATTAGATTTGATGTCTCTGCTTTTTAGCATCATCAAAACCAAAATATGAAAACCTGCAGGCTGGGGATACAGCGTAATGGTAAAGCACTTGCCTAGGCATTCATGAGGGCCCTGACTGTGATTGTCAGCCCTGAAAAAAAAAAAAAGAAAAAAGAGAAACAAATTGGCACACAACCATAGTCTCACCTTTGTGGGAGGCTGAGGCAGGAGGATTGCTGTATAGCAGGAGTTTGAGGCCAGGATGGGCAACATAGTGAGACCCTGTCTTGAAAGGAAAGAAGGGAAGAAAGGAGAAAAAAACCTGGATCTTCTTGTGGTTTTATTATTTCTTTTCTTTCCTACTTTTCTTTCTTTATGTTTTGGTACTGGGGATCGAACTTGGGTCCTTGCACTTGCGAGGCAGGCGGTGGAACGACTGAGCTAAATCCTGGGCTTTTTCCTACTTTTAACAATCAGAAGATGTCTTTCCATCTGCCTCACTGATATTCTTTCAAATCTGGTGACAAAGTTAGTATTAAAATCTTTCCAAGTGACTTTGTTCATTTAAACAAGGTAAACAACATAGACGGAAGGACATAATACAGTTAGGTACAATCGTATGATCAGTGAAGTTTAATATTAATGTAATCAAGAATGAAAAGGCCCACTTAGAAGTTGGGTAAAGAAGGGCTGGCACTGTGGCAGAATATTCAGGATGAGTGTCCTCTCCTGTGCTCCCTTTGTCACACTCACTTCTCACTGGAGTTGGAGGTGAGGGTCAGGGAATGTGTGACTGGGTTGAGAATGGAAGGCTCTCAGAACTGAGAGTCTCATGGAAAAGATGAAATGGATGAAGGAGAATCTGAGTAAGATTAAGTAAATACTAAGGGTTTAGTACTGGCTGCAGTACCAAAAATCAAAGAATTGAGGAAAGACATTAAAATATAAATTGTATGAGTTAACTTTACATTAAAAATTTAAGGAAACCAAAATGGGGCCAGGGATTTAGCTCAGTGGTGCCACCACCTGCCTCACAAGTGCAAGGTCCCAAGTTCGATTCCTGTACCAAAAGAAAGAAAGAAAAAGAAAACCAAGATGGTAAGACAATATGTAACTTGAACCCGGAACAATAGGTGTTAGAGATAGATGGGGGACCCTGTATAATGGGGGATGGACAGATGGACTGTATGTTATATGTATTGTGCACATGAATGTGTCTTGACTTTTTGAGTAATCAGCAGAGGATAGTGATAGGGTTAGAGTGGCTACTTTTGGAGGAATAGGGTTAATTAGCTGAGTGAAAATGAGAAGATGAAACTGAATGATTAGTTACAAAGAGCATGGGTAATGCTAGGAGGAAAGATGAAATGGCTCATATGGGTTGAGTATGACCTAATTAATGAATGTTAGTGCTGCTTCGTTAGTAAGGGAATTCATCTCAAGATTATTAAATAAGGGGTTATGCCTTGCATAAATAGAGGCGAAATGTTGCTTATATTTATAAGTTACTCGATTTTATCTTTTAATTGCCCCTTAAGACATATCTGTTTGACTCTTGAAATATTTCACTAGGGGTTGTGTATTCATGATGGTACCTGGAAGTCAGCAATTTATGGTTTTGCATCTCAGAGTAGTTTGAAAAAACTACGAAATTCAGCAAATCTGAAACCTGTCCCCTTCATTGGTCCAAAACTGAAAAAAAGGTATAATCTTTCATAATCTATGCTTTACTCTTTCTAGTCTTAAGTAAAGTTTTGTAAGCTTGTCAAAGTATGTTACTAAAAATGCTTGGCGCCTTTTGTAGTAAGCTCAAGATTGTTTTCAAATATAAAATGTAATTAACACATGATCCTAAGCTTAAGTACTTTACATATAACAATACTTTTAGAAGTGAAGTTTCTGGAGACATCTCACTATTGCATCAAAATTAAATGTCAGTTAAGATTTATGCAGTAAAACTGCCAACTTAAAGTTTGATGATCTTAATGTAAATTAATCAGTCTCATTAGTAGCACTTTTACGAGAGAACTTTAGCAGATATGAGTTTAGGATTGGGCTGTTGTTATGAGTGTTATTTAAAGCAGTGTCTAGTGAAATTGATAGGGTAAAACAGTTAAAGTACTTTTAGCATTGTGGTATGAAGACTATGACACTTGTTACTTGTTTGGATGTAGGTGTGATGAACTCCTGAAATAATTTTCAATTAAAAGCACACCTACCATTCTCATTCTTATTAATGACCCCAAGAAAAACTGTTGATGTTTTTTATTCAGAAATGTACTGGCTGAAGTTGTGATTATTGTAATTAGAGGAAATGTGAAATTTTCATGGGTCTGTCTTGCAGGTGGCCAGTGTCTTATTGTAGAGAACTCAGCGCATACTCCATTCCTTTCATGGGAGCTGACATGTCTGTTGTAAAGCGGACTCAGCGATACTTGCATGAAATGTTAGAGGAATCACCAGTAAGTAAATACCGCTTTTTTATTAATACTATCTTCTGTGTTTCTTACAGTTCCCTTGTCTGTTTAATGCAGATTTTTTTTTATTTGGTACAGGGGATCGAACTCTGGTCCTTGCACTTGCCTGACAGGGAGCAACACCAATGAGCTAAATCCCTGGCCCTAATATAGAATTTCTATGTTTATAAAGCAATCAATCAATCAATCAATCAATCAATCAATAAATAAATAAATAAATAAAAGAGTGAGCTAAATAATCCATATTTAGCTTTTGGAAATATATAAAATTGCAAGGGCAGAACATTTTTGTTTTATGGGTTGGTCATAGGCTTACCCCATGATTCAGATCTGGGCTGCTAAATGCCTTTTAGCATAACACTATTCAGTACAGCAGATTCAATACAGGAGTCCATATGTGATAAACACCCACTAGTCACAGGTTAGCGTTTCAGCTGCTAGAATACTCCTTCCATAATAGCTTATGGGGGTGTCTGGGACCCCCCCCATGCACACACTGTCGTCTCCTTACCTCTGGAACATCAATGTACTCCTCGTGGTGAGAGAAGTCACTGTTCCCTCTTCAAGAGGAAAACATATCTCAGGTGGAGGGTATTTTCTCATAAGAGAAGTTGTAAGTGGAGTCTGCACTCTGTAAAATACTACCACTAAACTATGATGTATTATGGATTATGTGGACTCTTGTGTGCATTAAGGGAAGCTAATTATCATAACGATTTTTCTTAAAAATAATAGGCTGCCCATTTCTGATTTCTCAACAGGCTTTCAGAATATAATACATTCATAAAGTAAAAATAATGGAATATAAACATGCTCCATATTTATGATCAAATAATCACTGAAAAGAGCTACCATTCTTGCATTATTTGGTATAAAATGTAGGGAGTAATATTCTGACTTTATTTTCTTAATGCAGGTTCAGTATGCTGCTTATGTAGCCGTGGGAGGCATCACCTCTGTTATTAAGTTGATGTTTGCAGGACTTTTCTTTTTATTCTTTGTGAAGCTTGGCATTGGAAGGCAACTTCTCATAAAAGTAAGATTTTATGAAATTAGATCTTGAGAGGTCTCATTTCTCATGAGTGTTTGAAACTATCACTGAGGGTTTGTTTTTTCTTTTTCCTTTAGTTCCCATGGCTCTTCTCCTTGGGTTATTTTTCAAAACAAGGTCCAACACAAAAACAGGTAATCTTTTCTTTTGTATCTAGGTGTCCAAAGTGGTAATTTTCTTTATTTTGTTTTTACTCTTCCTCAGGGTAGTGACAGTAACATCCAAGCCTTGATGGAGGCACTTATTATATTGCAGATATTCTTTTAAGTGCTTTACATGAATTAGATTACTTTTTGAACTCCCCTTGGAAATAGGTATTATTATTATTATCTCCATTTTACAGAAGAAGAAACTAGGGCATGGAGAGGCTAAGAAACTGGCCCATGGTCCTATAAGCTAGCTGAGAACCCAGCCGTCTGGCTCCAGTAGTTGTTTGCTCTTTACTTCATCCATTTTTTATTTTCTCTCTCTTTTTAAAAATAAATCTCATATTTTCCCCCAAATTTTGCTTCCTCTTCCACATACCCCAGATTCCCATGATGGAATTACCATGTGTCCAGTGTTCTCAACCATATGACTGCCTCATTTTCTACCATTTGCTGTACAAATTTCAATTCTGAGTTAGGCGCATTGGTCCATTTAGCCTTCATCTCCTTTATGCCAGGCACTACAGGGTGTGATCTCACTGTTTAGCAGATAGCAGCATCCAGACTTCTGGGTGGAATTCTAGCAGCACTTCTGACACTTCCACTTTTCATTAATCGTTCTTCCATCTTCCTCAGTGGCTGTTTTAAAAAATCTACCCCAAACCTCTTCTCTGTCTGCAGATTATCCCAACCCCTACTTCACTAAGTGAATCAAGAGCATATGTTGTGCTCCCCCTCAAATTCTGCCCTACTTTCTGGAATTAAGGATTCTCCAGTATGAGGCTAGTCCCCCCATCAGTGCTCTTCACAGCAGAAGCATTTACTGTGCTGTAGCCACTGAGCTTTGTGCTTTACTTCTCAGTCCTCCAGCAACCACTGAGATAAAGGTATTGTTAGACACATTTTATACTTGAGGAAATAAACAGAGAAGATGTTCTTTGCCTACGTTCACATAGCTACAATATGGTGGATCCTAAATTCATACTAGCCTAAGTCCTAGCTGTGACTGCTTCTTTTGATCTGTTTCCCTCCTTGTTTCATCAGCTGTTTGATCCTTTTCTGTACTCTGGATTTGTTGTCCTGCTGCTTTACAGGTTCTTTCTCCTCATTCTGAAAACATGTTGCTATCCTGTCCAACCTAAGAGTGAGCCTTGGGCCTTCCCTTCACCCTTATTTGTACCCTTGCTAAGGTTGTTTTTGACTTTATAACACTGACTGCATTGAATGCCTTTTAGTCCTTATTTAGTGTATTGTCTTTGACATTATTATTCTTTGAAATACTTGCTTCCTTTGGTTTCTGAGACAATGGCTCTTTTAAGTTTACTTTCTCTTCTTCTTAGCTCAATTTTATCTCCATATCTTTTCTATTCCTCAAATGTTAGTCATCCCCACGACTCCGTCCTTGGCTCATTTCTCAGTCTCTCTCTCAACAGGGCTCTTTACTTTTTTGAGACTAAGTCTCACTATATAATCCAGGCCAAAGGGCTGGGGATCTAGCTCAGTGGTAGTGCCACTGCTTGACTTGCAAATGCAACGTCCTGAGTTTGATCCTGGAACAAAAAAAAAAGGAAGAAAATAATCTGGGGTTACAGGTGTGCAGTACTATGCCTGGTACTCATCAGGGTCCTTAAAAAGCATATTTATATATCCAGATTGATGTTTCCATCATTTTACAGGATATATTACTCATGGATACTTTAAATTCAGTGTGCCAAAATCTGAACTTCTCTCAAACTCTTCTTTCCTTATTTTCCATCTCAGTTGGTGGCACCGTCATCTGCCCAGCCAGAATCATGAGCATCATGCTAGATTTTCTCCTAACCCATTGACCATTATCTCTTGCTTTCTTTTAATTGTGATAAAATACACAAAACATAAAATTTACCATCTTAACCATTTTTAAGTATTTGGTGGCATTAAGTACATTGATACTTTTGTGGAACTGTTATACTATCTACTCCAGAACTCTTTATCTTGCAAAATTGAAACACTGTACTCATTGAATAATTATTCCCATTTTTCCCTTCCCTAAACCCTCACAGCCACTATTCTGCTTGCTATTTATTGCTATGAATTTGATGAGTTCAGGTGTCTCATATAAATGGAGCCATAAAGTATTTGTCTTTTTGTGTCTGGCTTATTTCACTTAAGTTTGATTTCCTCACAATTCATGCATGTTGAAGCATCTGTCAGAATCTCCTTCCTTTTTAAGACTGAATAATTCTCCAGTATATGATGTGCCATGTTTTATCCATTCTGCTATGGGTAGATACTTGGGTTGCTTCTAGCTTTTGGCTGTTGTGAATCGTGCTTCTGTGAACATGGATGTACAGATATCTCTTCAAGATCTTTCTCTAAATTTTTTTAGGTATATATCCAGAAATAAAATTGCTGGGTTATATGTTAATTCTGTTTTTAATTTTTTGAGGAACATAGTAGGTGCACCATTTTAGCTTCCCATCAGTAGTGTACAAGAATTCCAACTTTTCTATATCTTAACAGACACTTAATTTTTGTGTGTGTGTGTGTGTGTGTGTGTGTGTGTGTGTGTTTTGATGTTCCTCATAGTAGTTGTGAGGTTGTATTTTATGGTTTTGTTTGCATTTCCCTAACAATTAGTGATATTGACCATCTTTTCATGTGCTTATTGGCTTTTTGTATGTCTTCTTTGGAGAAATACCTATTTAAGTCCCCCTTTTAACTAGATGAATTATTTGTTGTTGCTTAATTGTATGAGTTCTGTTTTCTGGATGTGAATTCCCTACTATAGTGGACTCCAGGCTTTTTGGCACCAGGGACTGGTTCCACAGACTGGAGGTGGTGGGGTTTCAGAATGAGTCAAAGGAGTGTGCAACCTAGATCCCTCACATGCACAATTCATAGTGGGGTTTGTGCTCCTATGAGAACCTAATGGTACCACTGATCTGACAAGAGGTGGATCTCAGGCAGTGATGCTAGCAGTGGGGAGTGGCTGTAAATACAGATGCAGCTTTGCTCACTAACCTGCTGCTCACCTCCTGCTGTGCAGCCCCATTCCTGCAAGTATTTTCTCCTATGGGCTGCTTTTTTATTCTTCTGTTAGTGTGTGCCCATATTTCTGGACTGAACTTTTCATAGTATTCTTATGGTTTCTTATCAGTCTTCCTACTGCTATCCAAGACTTTTTGTTTGTTTGTTTGTTTTTGGTGGTACTGGGGCTCAAACTCAGGACCTTGTGCTTGGCAGGTGGCTGCAGTGCCACTGATCTATATTCCTGGTCCCTGAGAGATCTGAGACAGAAAACCTGACCTTGTTATTGCCTTCTTTAAGACTACTTCCCTGACTTGGCAATGATTATTTACTGGGATTCTATATAATAGAATCACCTAGGGAACTTTTTTGTTTTTTCAAATACACAAACCCTGATCCACATCTGGAACATGACTGTGGGAAGTCCATCTCCAGAGGTGTGAGGCCACCCTAGTACCTTCATGATCTAGTTCTGGGAGGTAGATTTTCATCCACCTCTGATTAATTGGAGTAGCAACTCAGGGACTATGTTGAAAAGCTAAATGTGTCCCTAACCTGCAAGAGGGTTATGATTACTTGGTGTGAATGCCACATCAGGGGAGAGGACAAGTATGGCATGTGCATCTGACCTTATCTGCACCTCTTGAACTGTAGGCTCTAGATACACCATGCTACTTCATCTCTTCTTGCCTTTAAATAATGGTTTCTTAAAATCCACCCTAATTTTCTGTGTAATAAATTTCTATTAAAATATGTGTGTACACATTTCAAAATCCTACCCTCTCTGCCATGACATCTAACAAGATGCTCCTCTGAGATTTCCCTATATCTTTTAGTTCATGCCTCATATTGTTAAATGTCAGGGCCTTTTATTGATCATGACTGAGTTCATTTAACCTTATTCCTAAATTTAGCGATTGTAAAAGATGGTGAACTAAGTCCTCTATAATTTTTTTAAATTGAATATTTACATCTTAAAGTGGTGCAATTATGTTTGTGTCTCAGACCTTTATTTCTATGACTTGCCTATTATTTTTGTCTTGTAATAACAGATATCTAAGAGCAGGTATCCATATTCTACCTCCCCATTTAAAACTACCTCTAGTTTTTCTTTTTAAACTGCCTATATTAATGGTGCTGTCATACTTCAAGCTACAGTCTAAGAAATACTTTATATCTGTTCTCCATTTCTCCCCCACCAGTCATCAAAACTTACAACCTCAAAGAATTAGCTTTTGCCCATGTTTAAAGCCTGTCAAGACATTGTAGTATATAATGTTGATATTTTTATACATTGAAAGTGTCTCATGAAGTAGAATATTAGGTTTTATTATGTTCCAGGAGGAAATGATGTATTTCTTTAAAAGAGTCCTTTGCTTTCTTTTTCACAGATAGATGGCTCATCATTTACAATGACATTCTTTGGGCAAGGCTATGCCCAAGGCCTTAGTACTGATAAGAACAAACCAAATATCAGAATTTGTACTCAGGTGAAAGGACCAGGTATTTTGCGTATTTTGCATATGACTTAAGAATGCTTGGGAGTTTTAGATTGTCTTAAGCTATAAGGCAGTATGTTATTGCAATATATTCTTTTTTAAAGTTTAATTGTTGTAGAAACACACACTTGCATGAATTATTAAGTTTAAAATTATTCTGTCAACTGAAGGGTTGAAATTATTAGTATAAGCCAGTTGTATTCGTGTATCCTCCCTTCTTGTCATCTTTTTCATTATTCAATAATACAAAATGAAAGTTTTAGTTACTAATAAGAAAGGGGGATGGCTGCTGTTTTACCTATTTTAACCTCATAGTTATGCAGTGTAATTGTAATAGTCAAGCTGGGTGGGGTGGCTCATGCCTGTAATCCCAGCACTCGGGAGGCTGAGGCAGGAGGATTACTGTGAGTCCGAGACCAGCCTGGGCTACATAGTGAGTTCCAGGTCAGTCTCAACTATATAGTGAGACCCTGTCTGAACACACCCCCCCAAAAAAAAAACCCCAATTTTAACAGTCAAATCTGTTGCATGAGCTTTATTTATAGACTTTGAACACCCTACCATTGTTTGTAAAAACGTGTGTGCATATTTGTACTTTTCAAAATAATGCTTCGGCATGTTAAAAGGATCTTTTGCCAAATGGTAATAGCAACAACAAAAAACCTGAGGAACTTTTGCTGTAAAATTTAGAGAACTATATGGAGACAGACCCACTTAGGTATTATAGTATAAGTTTAATAATAGGTCACAGGGAGTTTTAGTCAAACCACGTGGCATGATGTACTTTCATTTTGCCTCCTTTTCAGATTCCCACCTGGTTTGTTACAGTAAGTGACTACAAGGGGTGATAAACATATACTGTAAATGTTTTAAAATAGTTATTACAGTAAAGGACACATTGCCATGAATTCCTCTAAAATATCCCATCACTTCAAATGCACTTATCCCATCATTCTTGCCGCTTTCTCAAGCAGCTGTGGAAGACCTCTTTCTGGGAGTGTCTTTAGAGGTGTGATTTAAAAATATAGTGAATGTTGCTGCCAAATTTTTTTTTTGTACCAGGGATCAAACTCAGGACCTTGCGCCTGCAAGGCAGGTGGCAGCACCACTGAGCTAAATCCCCAGCCCTGCCAAGTGTTATTGAACAGAAAGCAGGCTCATAAAAATGTTACCGTTGTCCTCATCTACTTTATTCACCATTCTTGGTACTGGGTAACTTCTGGCTCTTCTAAAAGTCAGAATGATGATGAAAGGTAGATATTTTTAATTTATTCAGGACATTGAGGCAGCAACAACAAGTACTATGAAAGACACAAAAGAGGCCTTCCAGAACCCCTTCAGGAAGTGTCAAGAATTATGGGATAAAAGTGAGAGGAAGTATTTTGAGGGGATCAATAACAGTGTGTTCTGCTTTTAATAATTTTTTAAAAATTTAAACATTCGTACTTTTTGACAGTAATGTAAGTAGTGATATATATCTCACTTGCTTATAGACTTCCTTTTTTTTTGAGACAGTCTTACTCTGTAGTTCAGGATGACCTCTGATCTCCCAGCAGCTATCCTTCCTCAGCCTCCCAAGTGCTGGGATCGCAGGTGTGCGCCACCAAGCTAGGCGTATAGACTTCCTTTTAAGTTTGCTCAGGTTTAGTCAGGTTTTTTGTGGGAGCATGAGGGATGGTCCTAGGGATTAAACCCAGGGTCTCTGCAGCTAGCTACATTCCCAGCTCTATTGTTTTTTTTTTTTTTTTTTTTTTTTTTTA